TTTTTTTTTTTTTTTGTCTTTTTTCGTGTCTGGCAACGGATCGCAACCCTCAGTGTCGTGCCCATACCGGACCGGGACCGGCAACGGGATCTCAACCCTCGGCGCTGCGCCCGCACCTTGCTCAGCCAGTGAGCGGGAACCAGTCTGTATGTGGGATCTGAACCCTCGGCGGGAGCACCGTCACACTCCCAACTGGCCAGTGCGCCACCGGGCCGGCCCCTGCCTCATTCTTTTTAATGAGTATAGTATTTTATTGAATGGCATATCATAATTTATTTAAGTGGGCTCTCAATTGACAGGCATTTCTAATCTTTTGTTATATAAAAATTGTATTAATGGCCAATCCTGTACATAAGTCATTTTGCACATGTAAATTCCTAGAAGTATGAAATTGCTAAGATTTCAAATCCATACACCTATTAGTCATATATGAAACTTCATTTCCCACATTCGCTCCCAATGCAGGATGTTATCAGGTAATTTGATCTTTGACTATCCAAGAGGATATTAGCACAGTGGTAATTTGCACTTGTCTTATGAAGGAGGTTGAGCACAATTTCATATATTTAAGAGCTATTTTTTATTTTCTTTTCACTGAATTATGTGTTCAAGTCCTTTGCCTATTTGTTAGGGCTCTATATATATTGGGAAAATTAGCCCTTTGTAGAATAGTAAATATTTTCTCCAAGTCTGTCATTTTATTTTTAGCTTATGGTAGTTTTTCAATGCAGAAATTTTAATTTTTATGAAAGCAGACTTGTTGATCTTCCTTCTATGGGTCCTGGATTTTGGGGAGTCATGTTTAGAAAGACCTTTCCTACTATGGAGGTATGAAAGAATGCTCCTATCGTGTCTTCGTTATTTGAATGATGTTTTTTTGTACTTTTAAGTTTTTGATTTAGTTTAAATTTATCACAATGTATGGTGTGAGGTATGAATTCAACGTAATCCTTTTTTCCAACTGGCTATACGGTTTTCCAAAAACATTTATCAAACATTTCATTCAGGAATTTCAACTCCTCACCTCTGCATGTTTTCCACTTCTTCAATGGTCTCAGGCAAAGCCTTCCCTTTGGTCTCTGGTAGCAACAACACCAGTCCCCCAGCAACCACACCAATCACAGCTGAAAGCCAGACACGAATCACATTAAGAACTGAAAAATGCAGGTTCTATAACTAGTGCTCCCCTTACTTCTGCTTTAAAAAGTTTTAAGTGCTTTCCTACACTTATTTACAGATTCCTTTGCCATCTCTGGTTGCTACATTTTCCATTGTAAATATTATACCAATTTCGAACTCCATTGGATTACAATTCCTTAAAAGGAATGAAATATGTAACATTTTGAGTCAAGATTATTCTGGGTTAGAGAATTTTAATATTGCCACAATATTAAGATCCTTTGGAGGTAGACAATAATCTGGAAAAAAAAATTAACTATAAGAAAAGAAAGAACAAGCCACTATAAAGCACTTGGTAATGAAAATAAGTCAGGAACTTGGATTATTACTAGCAAATAAATGTAATGAATCATGTATTTATTACTACATAACAGTATTAAAAAGTTTGGGCCGGCCCGGTGGCACACTTGATAGAGTGCAGCGCCTGGGAGCGTGGCGGCGCTCCTGCCGAGGGTTCGGATCCCATATACATACCAGTCTGCTCACTGGTTGAGCGTGGTGTGGGCACAACACCGAGGGTTGTGATCCCGTTGCTGGTTGCAGTACAGGCGCAACACTGAGGGTTGCGATCCCGTTACCGGTCACGAAAAAAAACAAAAAAGGAAATAAAAAAAAAGTTTAGCCAGGCCTTTGAGTTCAAAGTCAGATGTTCACTGAATTCCTGTTGTTCCTTTTTTATTTGTCTCTAACTATCATCTTTAATAATAAACGCTTTAATGTTTTTCTTTCTTTAAATTCTGATAAAAAAAATTTGTCTTTAAAGCTGTATTTTTATGTTTCTCTATAATATAATGCAGGAAGGGGGATATGGGTTCTTTATTAGTTTGGTGGTTTCAAAACACTGCATGCTGAACTCCATTTTTGTGCCTGCAAAAATGGCAGAAACGGAGGCCTCAGAGCCTGGAGGCACAAAATGCAAGCTACAGCACTGAATGCTTGGGCTCCAACTCCGACTCCTGCAATGACTGGTCTTAGGGCCTTGGGAAGTCCTGCAATCTCCAATGCTCCAGATTCCCCCATGTAAGGTGAGATAATATGCCCACCTCACAGACTTGTTAGGAGGCTGCAATGAATTAATATTTGTCAAGCACTTAGAATAGTGTCTGGCACATGGTATGAACTATGGAAGTGCTTACTATATCATTAACCTCTCAAAATCTCTCCACACTTCCCAAGATTCATTTGGTTACTGTAACTAATGTGAACAAGAAACATTTGGCTGGCATCTGAGCCTCTGAAATGAGTGAATTATGATGAATATAATCAATTAATCAAATTATCATCCATTTAGCATTTTATATTTACAAAGACAGGCCTAAGCAACAAGGATAATCTGGGGCTCTTTCAACCAGGATTTTCCAATGTATTTTCAGGCTTCTTGGATTACAATGTTATGGCAATGTCAAGTCCACAGTCAGCGCACCATTATTGTGTGGTAAAGAAAGGGAAGGAAGATAAAAAGCAGAACTACTAGTTTTCCTACTACTTAGGTTAAAGGTTGGTGAGGGAAGAGGATACAACTAGTAGCAAAAATAAAATTGGGATCGTCTTCGAGTTTACTTCCAATGTTGAAGTGCAGTGATGATCCTTTATCTTCTGCAGGGGAAGGTGAGGCATGAGCAGGTTCCTCTGGGTGTGGACTTTGCATTGCTTTGTTACCTAGCACTGGACTTGGAGAAACAGGAAGTATCTATTCAGAAATATCCCACCATCCCATGGGTCACCCGCTGCAAGTGGCCTATGCAAGTGGCCAAGATTCAGGCATCTCCAACTTCCTCCCTGGAAGGAAGGAGCCCAGAGGGTATGATGGGCACTTCCTCAAGCTGGAAAGGGAGCTCAAGGACAGACCCCTCTGCCAGTGTTGGGGCAGGAAAGAATTTGGGGCACATATGTCCCATCAGCAATGCCAGCTACTCTGTGGCCAAACCGTGGTTTTCTCAGGATAAAGAGCTTGAGTTCTATCAGCTTTGGCTGTCGTGTTATCACTAAGCTGGAATGCGGAGGAATTCACTGGGTGTTTCGAGAGTGAATTCGATCAGTGGTTTGGAACTTTTGTTGGCAGATCTGCACGGGTGGAAAATTCTCCCCAACACCAATCCCTGGAGAAGCAGGGAAGAGAGGGAATGAGCAGGGGGACTCGTCTGGACAGCGTGTGGCATTAGGAGCCCAGCAACGGGGGCTTCACTGGTGTGCAT